TCAAGCCTATGTCAAAATGTTAGCTTTTACTCGCTAACTGTTGTGACAAACAAAATTGCCCCTGTGTAAATGAAAGGCATGACATTATGCAAAAGTGCAAAATTGCGCACTAGTTCATATGCATTTCTCTGACTCTTTCTATTTTAAAAGGTTTAGCTACCTAGAATGCTCTGTCAGTCATTGTCTACACTATGGTCAATTGACCGTACACTTGACAATACTGCAACCATGACTTTTGTCCGTATCGCATTTTGCATACGTGTCGCAGCAAATTTTCTGACCACCTCTAATCTGTGCATTAGTGACCATGGGAAATGCGTGGCAACCATCATGCTGAGGTGTATGAGTTATGTCAAGTGTAATTCCAGCGTAATGCCTCTATCTGCTCCCATAATGCATCTCTGCTTGCCTGTATTTTCATCAGTTGTCCTTTCATCTCGGGCTTTGCTTTAATGGCATCTAAAAAAAAGACCGAACAGTGTGTTTGTGTTGAGTACACACACACCCTGAAACTCTTCCACCTTGCATTCTCACACACATAAGAATAGCTGAGCTCACAGGTATATGGCTACATGCTTGGCACTCGTGTCATGAGAAAAGTGCTCAGAGGTTGATTATTGCATTGGCGGATGGGAGTCATAATGTGAACAAAAGTCTGTCACCTTTTCACGGCCCTTTCCCTTCTGAAAGTGCCTGCCTCACTGATATCTTTGGTTTGATCCCCCGACTGCCACTCAGTGAATTTGTGAACTAGAAGCCATCAGTGGATGAGCTGTCAAATAATTACAGTGTGCAAAGGGAAGCAGAGGATGGGCTCTTTCCGAGAGGACACGGTGAGAGCTGCTGTCCCGCGGTGAGGCTGAATTTCAGGAGAGAGAGAGAGAGAGAGACAGAGACAGAGCTGACACAGTGCTGTGTGCGGTGGCTTCATTTGTTTTTCCCCACCAGTGATCATGATGCTGGATTGTTGAGGCCCAGGTTAATACTGGCAAGTATTAGAGGAGGAGAGGGTAAACACTAATGCCCATACACACTCATGCATATGCATGAGGCTACTTTATGCTACAGCTAACATATCTTATATCGTGCACCTCTTTAGTAGTCCCTGCCACAACACAAAGTGGAGCAGGGGTTATTGCTGTGGAGCTCGTCCATCTATCCATCGGTCTGTCTGTCGGTTTGGCTGTCTGCCCGTCCGTATAAATGGGGGCAAGTTTTCTAAGAAGATACTTTAACTAGATGAATGAAATGTTGTGTTTGTTACAGCCTTGATGGGGTTCAGAAAGGGATTCCACGGTGGTGGACAACTGTGCAGACAGCGTCATCTTGTTTGATATGCAACTCACCACTAGGTGTTTTTCTGAGGAAAATCTAGAACCTTTGGGTTCACATTGCTTGGCCCATCTGTGAAACAGTAGAGAAAGCAGAATGCTGTGTATTTTTTTTCGTATTGTTCCTGGTCCAATGGAACACTCTTTTTACTGTATTTGTCATTGCTGTGGGCTGTTGAATGTGAATGGAGAGGGGAATTGTAAGCAGTGATGCTCCATCTATGTTCTCCATCTTTGAAGGTAATGGGTCAGAAGTCCCCCCCCCACACTGGAGTAAACAGGGGGGTGTAAGAGCAGGAAGAGCCTCAGACTGATAAGGCATCAGAGGCCGTGATTGAGTTATACCGCCGAGCAGACAGACTAATCCGAGCCACCGCCCAGCCCCCGCTCGTACATTACCGCGTAACGAGACGCGATCGGGTATCGCTTACAGCTATAGCGGACCGGCCGACAGACGATACTGCAGTAAACAGTATTTAGGGCCGCCTCAACAGACCAAACAGCGATGAGCGGCACATTATGCGGACAACCGAGTCGGTTCTTCGGATCTCGGGGGTCGTTCCATCGCGAGCGTTTCCTGCTGCCGCTGCGAACTGGGTCATACCTGCGCCACAAAGCCCGCCGTCAGCCGTACTGATGAATAACACCGCCAGGTTGAAGTTCAGTTTGTGCAGGCGTGACGGAGTGCCAGTTCATCCCCCAATCAGCCAAAGTCGGATGACGGGATTGGTGGACGGCCTCCTGTTTTCAGGGTGGTGTTAGCATTGAGCACCCAGCTGCCCGAACAACACCCCCCCCCTTCACCCCCCCCAGACTCACCCACTCACCTTCTCTATCCCTGTGTAAACATCCACCAGTCTGACAGCGCGGTCGCCACGTTTGCCGGTGCCTGCCGCGCGCATGCCAAGTTTGCCTCCTGAAGGTCAGCCGCGTGTGGGAGGGAAGTGGCTTTGATATTTATCCCCTTGTAATTACCTGTTGAATTGCGAGAGGCTGCAGCAGATGTTGAATATTATTACTTCGCTGGATGAACGGTGAAATAATAGGGAGTCCAGCTGGTCTGAGATCCCCATTAAAAATCTGTCACTTCGCTTTTTCCAGGCACTGGAATATTGACTGTATATCTCGCAATGATACCGAACGCTGGCACTTGTAACAGTTAACCCTTAGAACACTAAATGCAACTATTGTTACTCAATGATGTAAGACAGGGATACTCACTCTCTTCCGGAATGAGCCGGTGTGGGTTCAGGCTTTCATTCTAACCAACCAGTCACTCACCTGATTCTACTAATCAATCCTTCAAGCTTTTGCCATGGACCCTAGATTAGTAGAATCAGGTGTGAAACTGTATGGTTATAATGTCAGGCTGCACTCACACCGGCTCATTCTGGAAAAAAATGAGTATCCCTGATGTAAGATATCAAAATCATAGCTGTTGCAAACCTATCATGCGGCGACTTGTTTGAAAGAGCTCCCGCAGGGGAGCTCTTTCATGCAAGTTGCCACACGATAGGTTTTCAACAGTACAAGATAATTAAATCTTTATATATTAATAATCCATCCGGATAAGTGGGGACAAGTTTTCTAAGAGACTTACATTACCCAGATGAATGAAATTTTGCTTTTGTGCGACAGTAGTTATGACCTTGATTGGGTTTCAAAATGGGATTTCCGTGGTGATGTTTATGACAGTATTGTCTCGTTGAAATTTGTATGAGTGTGAGGAACTGAACTTTAATGAGAAAAAGATTGCGAGCAAATGGGAGGGATTGAAACCGCAAGCCTTCTGTGAAAGTGCACAGAGTTAATATAGAGAAGCCAAAATCTATTTCATAACAGTGGGAAATATGAGAAGCAGCAGGCTCCTAATTTCCTCGCACAAAACGTGCTTGTTATTCCAGTGCTGCTCTTGCTTGTTATGGGCTATATTCATGAGCTGGGGGAGGTCGGGCTCGTTCGAGCTTCGGGGACCGGCTGTGTGTCCACGAGCCCCTGTCTGGCCTCCGGGGGCAGTGTGGAGTCTCGCCTGGGCAGAGCAGCCTCCGGCATTTGTTTAGTGCACCCATTTGTTACTGGCAGTCGCCCCCCACCCCACTCCAGCCTCCTGGCTGCTTGGGAACAGGAGAGCTTTGGGGGAGGGAGTGCGACCTGGGGGCCGACTGGAGGCTGGTATTAAGGGGTTTTCACATTTGCAATACACAGGCAAATATTTGCATTGATATTACATTCACTTTTATTCAAAAGTGGGCGATGAATGATTTAAGACATTGGTCTTCTGTCTGCAGTGAAAATCCTTCTCTTTTTTGTCGACGGAATTCGTCTCAAGTTCCACCTTGTTGAACTTCGACAAGTTATTTTGCACCACTGACCAAAAGCAAGCGAGTTCTGGCTTGTTGACTCCTCTAGGTGGTGATTCTTCCTTAAAATCTTCGGAAAATCAGCTACAAAATGGTGGTGTTAATATTGCTATGCTAATCTCACCAACATTTTTGCTTTTCTGGTAACACAATGTTGTATAGCCTCTAGTTTCTGCTGTCCAAAGCTTTTCGTGAGATTACCATAAAAAGAAGCTAACTGGCTGAAACTACGTTATGAAAGAGGAGCCTTGTACATTATTCACATCTAGGAGGTGAAGAGTTAAGAATGCATAGCATTTGTGAAAAATGTGGATATTCAGTGAGAGAGGTTACCAGTGTTCATTTATTTTAATCATTTCGAAATGTGCCGAGAATGATTGATCGGCAATCAGCATTATTACTGTATAAGATGATTTATATGCCTATTTTTTCAGTAATCATTTCCTTTGTGCAGACAATTTCCCTTCCTTTCTAATGTCAGTCCTATTTTAAGTATTGGTTCATTAATAGAAGGGGATTGTGATGAATTGTGCTTAAGACTGGGAGAGGCTTTTCCTTATTAAAAAAAAAAAAAAAAAAGTTATTTGAAAGTCTGCAAGCATTGCCTCCTTAAATGGTGCGGTATATCACCGTAACTAGATGTGACTGTTTTTTGACTTCATCTCAGTGCCTGTTTGATACAAATCATGGATGCCCATTTCCAAATGTACTGATTGTGATGTATTTTATGAATGCAACTATCTGTTTTCTTCAGTTTTGACAAAACATTGCAGTGGCACAACTGCTCTCTGCTCTTTCTGGTTCCAGAGTCATAATTACTCACACGTGAAGAATTCTGCTGAGTTTTGGTGAGCCAACAGTAACGTAATGAAGCCAATGAGGCTTTTGATGTTTGGGTGACTTGCTCTGGTGCTTTTATATGAATTTTAATTGGAGAAATCAGAATTATGCCCAGTTTTATTTTATTTTTGGCCCCTCTGGCACAGTTAAGCTTTGTGCTCTGTATGAGAGAGTGTATTTGGAGACTTAGGGCCGTTTCCCCATTCAAAGCATAGATGTAGATGTACTTTATAGAACCCTGTGGGGTAATTTGTCATCTGCATTTGACCCACCTTAGTTACTTAGGAGCAGTGGGCTGCCACAGTGCAGCATCCGGGGACCAACTCCAGTTCCACAGCCAGAGTCTTGGTCAGGAGCACCAGTAGGAGTGTCCCTATCGAGCATGTTTTTCAGAGTGGGGGAAACTGGAGTACCTAGAGGAGACCCACAAGAACACAAGGAGAACACGCAAAGTCCACGCAGAAAGGTCCTGGCCGGCCGGGGCTCAAACCCAGAACCTCCTTGTTGCGTGGCAGCAATGCTAACCACTGCACCACTGTACATACACGTATATGTTGTATAGGGTTTATAGGTTGCTACCATTTTACTTCCAACTTCTCAGTTCATATTTCAAGAGGAGCCAATGCAAAAGCTTCATTGTGTTTAATTGCATAGTAATGAGTAGGTGTAGTAAACTGTATAGCTGATGGTGCTTAGCACATGTAGGTGCTTTTGAATAAGATCTGGAGGAGAGTTTGTGGGTTTGTACTTTATTTTAGATTCTTCCAAATTATAAAGACTGATACACTCTTTCATTAAGGGGAACAGCTGGATCCATTAGCCATGTAGGGGCAGAGTCGAGTTATTGCTCTCTGTAAAGACTCGGGCCCTTTGTGTATTCCTGTTTTCTCTCCCCCCCACATGATTTACTGCCCCCCGCCAGCCCCGCCCACATCCATCCGCTGAAAGGGTTCCCTAATAAAGCACTTAAGCACCGGTGTGGAATAGATCTGGGGGCCAGAATTCGGGGCCGGAGAGATAATTCAATCCCTCTCTTTAATTACCTCTCAGAGAGGGGGGTAAATGAGTATTGATTGCGGCGGGGCAGGTCTGAGGAAGGGATTTTTTGCCTGTCCCGATGCAACACGCCACTGCGCTTCCAAATTAGCATTTAAGTAAAAACAGGGACGGGTCTGCACGTTAGCTGCGCCCTCAATTAACGCGTACGACTCCAGCCTCGGCTACACCAGGGTCATTTGCCCTCCTGTTCCCTGTATCCTGGTACAGGGGCCAACTGTGACGGCGACGCCGGGCACGACTCGCCTCGCTTATCTAATACAGAGGGGTCGGCTGTGGACCCTTCGCCTCATGACTGATTGCTTTAATTTGCTGGCAGATACAGCGGGACGTGCGGCGGTGTCCAGCCGGTCTGTATGATGAATTGGACATGACTGGAAGAAGGAGCGTTCGCTCTGCGTGCTGGCGTGAGAAGTGGGGCGACGTGTTCACTGCAAACTGGGCAAAGTCTCGGTGAGCCACACCGAATTAGTCCCTGAGCGATTTGTATTTTGTATAGTCATCCTGTACGTTGCACTTTTGATTGCTTAATAAAATCCGTATTAACTCCTGTGGGTCGTACATCAGAAGGTAGAAGATTAGGTTCTGAATAGGATATTGATGTGGAAAAATTCATGAGGTCGCAAGAATTAGTCTACTCAGAGTTTGGACTGCATTTATAAAGAATCGCACACATTCTGCTCTTTATTTCCATTCCATTCTAGCCACATGGCTAAATGGCTGACCGCAAACAAGAGTGGCCATAGCTCTTTTTTAATGGATCTCCCCGTACCTGTTATAAAAGTTACTCTTCTGTTATGAATCGATTCCTCTCAGCGCACGTTTTTATACACAACCCTTCTGAAGGGAAAATGGCCGCCCTTCTGTTTCACCCACTGGGTCATTTTAATGGCTTTACAAGCCTGAAAAGAGAGTGATTTTTTTCTCTTCTTCTCTACAGCAGCTTTAAATCATCAAAAACTCGAGGTCTGCCTTGTTTCTCAGCGTGATGTATTACTAGAGCACAGGGGTCAAGGTGAGCTGTTTTTCCCGGTTCAAGGTTGCGGTGGTGACTTGATAAAAGTGTGCTCTCAGAAGTGCCATTCTGGAGAGGGAAAAAGATATTGAGCAGCAGGATTGTGGGAGCAGGGAGCTGAAAAGCTGAATTTGGAAGAGAGCGCTATGCGATGTAGGGAATGTTCCCTTTTATAACCTCTCCAACTTAATTCACAAGGACAGGCAGAGTTAAGAGGACAAAATCTGTAGGGGGGAGAGCACCAGGCCTTCGGCTGTGGTGAGAACAGTCCAATTACGCACCGTCACATCTAGTGTTGAGAAACCACACGCCACAACACCTCCGCGAGCTCCCGGAGTTTGGATATCACAGGAGCTCGTATTAAACAACTTTGCTTCAAAGGTTAATAAGGTTTTGACTCATTAACTTCCCACATCCCTCTGCTTTTGGAGCGCTGGTTGAGGGGGTGGGCGTGCAGGAGTTTCGGGTCGGCGTCCTGGTGTTCAGGAAGGGCATGTTTTAATTGCATCTCTCGCACTCGGACAGGGGAGTTTGGCTTCCCCAATGCATCGCTGCCGATTCAATACTCCGGTCTGCGGGGGCGGAGGTGCGGTGAGGGGGTGTAATTAACTCGTTTAATTGAGTTTACTCAGTCATGCTGTCCAACTCTGGATCCATGATTATTTATTTTTTTCTTTTATTATTGCAAGTGCAAGAAGGCCAAGCTTATCTTACAAGGCCACGCTCGTAATATCTTATCATGTGCAGGTGCACTAGTCATGCTCTTGCTTGTGTTTTAGTTACTTAACTGTGACTGGTATCAAATGCTAAGTATGTGTTGCGGTCTTTTGTACCATACTGACCTGACACTAATGAGTTTTCCATGAGGAGGTCAAGGTTTATCAGAAGTAGTGTCCAGGCTCCTACAAGTACATGTATACATGTAATATAGTTCATAAGCATCATGGTAGTACAGCACCCACAGCAATTAAATGTCATGTTAGAGCTCAGTTAGCCAAAAATTTCACAGCTTTAAGAGAGGGTGTGTTTACTGTCTCTGCACATACAATTGGACAGTTAGTGCACCAATCTGATGCATTCATATATACTTATATGATGATTACAACAATTTACTGCAATGTGACGCATTTATGAACACACTGTGGTTACAGCACTGATGTGCAGGTGTATAACATGACACATGGTCCCCCACTGAATCTTTATTGACGCATAATTACGAAGGTATTATATCAATGCACTTTACTTACATAATTATGCAAATGATATTCCACTTTTAAAGGGAGAGCAGCCTCTATTTATCGCATGCCATGTCATATTCTGTTGAATTTAGTAGCGTCACTGCTATTGGTATTGAGATTTTTCACCTCTGCCGAGAGCGTATGTAGAACGATATAGGGGTCCTTAGTATGAGTAATTATGCGGCGCGTGAGCCACATTAGATAAGCTTTTAGGAGCACATCCAAGTGGCGGGCTGTCCCGTGAATCATAAAATGCGGTCGGTAATGGAAAAATAAAGAGGGCGAGAGAGTAAAGAAAAGAAATTTAATTCAAATTTGGATCAAAAAGGAATCAACTCGAACACCTTAGTGAAATCCTTTGTAATAAGGGCGAAGTCATTTAAAGCTGCATCAATAATGTGACCAGTCTGAGCCTCTGCCACTAATACCTCATTATTGGGGAATTTCAGAGAGGTAATCCTCCTTAAACTGAGGAATGAATCCTGAAGGTGTTCCTTTGTTTTATATTTATCAAACGGATGACGTCGCCTTTAAGGGTGTCTGTGATCTGCACAAGATGTCTGACACTCCAAGGCCACAACCTTTAATTCTTATATAAACCCCTAGAGCGCTGAAATAAATAAAAAATATATATAAATTTAATTATTTTGTGCTGTTGAAAACCTATCATGTGGCGACTTGTTTACTAAAAGAGCTCCCCTTTTAAGCAAGTCGCCGCATGATAGGTTTTCAACTGCTTTGAGTTTGGTATCTTACGTCATTGAGCAACAATAGCTGCATTTAGCGCTCTGAGTTATGGCGGTGTGGATTTGACTCATAGACCACTGGTGGTCTCTGAGGCATTCTTTTATTAGGTGCAATGATTATACGATCATTAGCTGTGATATTTCACTCAACTAAAGCAAGATTAGTGTGGTGTTTACAGCATCGGTTGTACAAAAATGCCTGTGGTTTCTCTTTGGGGGGCTAACATTTGGGGCAGCAAGCAGTTTTGACAAGTCTGACAAGTGGAAGGCGAACTCCCCGAAGATCCCCTGCGCTGCGGAAAATAAAGGGAGAAGAAGAGAAGAGCCCTGAGTCATATTTTTGTGATTTATTCTTGCGACTGCGGCCACACTGCACACCGAGGCACCCCTGCTGTCCCGTTCAGAAGTGATCATAGTGCTCTAATCTCGGTACATCCCGTTATTCCTAATGTTAACTCCTGCATAAGAACAAGAGGCTGTCAATCTAGGACTTTGTTCTCTGCTGAAAAACAGTTTGATTACTCTCATTACAATATGATTTATTCATTGAAATGGTTTGTCAGGATTGAATTGCACACAGAATCAGGTTATTAATACACTCACGTGGTCTTATATTCTCATGCACCGTCACAGTGAGGAATCATGATTTTAATTATTACTACTGTTCGAGACTCTGTGCGTGTATGTGTGTTCAACCTTGCTCTATTCATTTCCCAAAATTACCTCTCTGTTGTCCTTGTCGTATACCATTGCTCTTTGTTCGTATGAACAATATGATGCCGTAGTCACATGCTAAAAGGAAATTGAGACCTACGGGGAAATTAAATTTTCCTAACTGAAGAATACCCAGGCATTTGGCACCGTTATTACCTCTGTGAACAGAGCTGATAGGGGCAGTGTTTTCACTCCAATCCCTCTGTCCATCTTTGTGTCTGTCTCTGTGCCTGTCTTTTAGCTAGCTCTTATCTCCAAAAGTTATGAATAGATTTGGCCAGGAATTGATTAAACTTTCGGTCAGGCTGGCCAAAGTAACACATTCTCATCCCGACTCATCACAGAGTGACTGTACCTGATCAAGCATTCATATACAACGAAAAAGGCTTATGTTGTCCTTATTTGACACTTAGGGTGAGGGCTCGGGTTAAGGGTTAGGGGTTAAGGACGCCAAAAGTCTTTTTCATCATATAGACCCCTAGTCCTCAAATCACGGTCCTCGAGGTCCAATAACTGCTGGTTTTACAACCTCCCTTTACCTGGGAGTCAGGTGTAAGGACAGTCTGACCAATCAGAGGCACTGAATGTTCGTTGACTTTCCTGGGATAAAAGAAAACCTCAAACTGAATTTGGATTCGAGGTCCAGATTTGAAGATCCCTGATATCGACGCTTGGTCAGGTAACGCCACTATATGACAAGTCAGGATGAGACTAGGCCTGGCTTAAATCTAACATGATGCCATGCCCCTCCCCCTGCTTTGCTCCACAGACGT